AAGAAGAAGAAGAAGAAGAAGAAGAAGAAGAAGAAGAAGAAGAAGAAGAAGAAAAAGAAGAAGAGGGAGGAGGAGGAGGAGGAGGAAAACAGTAGTACAATCCGATTTTGCAAGATTTCAAAGAAAGAAACGTTAATAATATCAGAATCAGTAGCTACTGCAGAAGTTTCTTTTAAAGTAACAGACAGCGGGATGTTGCCAAAACACATTGTTGGCTCAACGCGCACTGTATACTAAGTCCGTACTCTTTTCGTAGAAACAATCGGGGAAGTGACTTCGTTCTCTGTACCCGAAATCCGCTTCAGTTTCTGCGTAACATGGATGCATTTCAGGATGGCAAGTGGTGGGCGGTTCACTTTTTTCGGTTATCGCAGATACCAGATACTTGAAAGCCAGGAATCGTAGGAATCGAGTACGAACCTAATTACTTTCTTACTGATGTGATTTCTTCCGGGGATTCCATAATTTCTTCCACTTTATGAGCCCGACACCTTGCCAGTTACCGGGTAGCTGGTCGGCCCCGAACAGCTTCAGGATTGAGGATAACCTCGTTTTTGGAACACACCGAGGCGCCATTTTTTTCTTACGACTGAAAAAACAAACAACAAATTAAACCACTGTTAACCCTTTGGTTTACGTATAGTATAAATACAAAGGAATCGGAACTTTTCTTTCGTAGGACCAATCTTGGAATTTGGTTCTGGAATCGGTTCTTCGCCAAGCTCTAAACAGGGGTCGACAATCTACGGCCTGTAGGGTAGGCCAGTTCCGGCCTAATGAACGTTTCCATCCGACTTAATGCCTCTCTTCTTATTTATTATTAAATCCGGCCCTATAATCTCTATCGCGACTATTGTATGCATTGTTTCATTCAGAAACGAAAAGACATTCTGTTGCTAACGACCAAAGCAGGTTTAAAAAAAAAATAAAAAATTAAGTTACAATATATAATCAATAGTTTCCAGTACGTGCCCACCATTATCAAATGATTCAAAGTCCTCTCTACTGCTAGATCTATTCTCAAACAATTCAAAGTCCTTTCTACTGCTAATTTCGAATTATTCAGTCCTCCCCCCCCCGCCCTTTTCCGCTTAACGGGCCATTTCTGAGCTCCAATGTGACCAAGTTGGCCAAAAATGTTGCCGGCCCTTGGTGTTAGCTTATCATATATCAACACAATTTCCAACTCCCTGTTCCATTCAGCTAAACGGTGATGCACGAGCCTTAGGCTACGGAAAAATACGCAAACAAAAATGTACATCTTTATCTCCAACAGCGGTTGGAGGAAATTCCCTGCTCGTGAACGTTCATACACTGCTCCAAATGAATCTTTTTTCCCCACTTCTTCCCCACTGCCTTTTCTGTCTTTTAAAACTTCAAGGCCACTCCTTTCACGTTGCACCACTATCCTAATCTTCACCGAGTGTTGATAGAAAGTCGGTTAATCATCGTATATCATGCCGGGTTGTTGACCTACCTTTGAAAGAGAAGGTGCAGAAAGAGTTTTAAAAGATTTAGCAAATAATAAAATTTTAACTGTAACACAGTAACCCCCCTCAACGCCTCCCTCTTTTGCTCTCTTTTGCTCTCTTTTGCTCTCTCTCTCTCTCTCTCTCTCTCTCTCTCTCTCTCTCTCTCTCTCTCTC